TCTCCATGCTCTCTTTGCAGCTGCCGGGCAAGGCTGGAAGAAGCGCCGCGACGGTCAGACCATGACATAGCGTAGAGATACGAAGAAGCTGGCTCGGTTGGTGCAGCCCGCCTTCCAAGTTGGGGCCCAAGGGATGAGGGTTGTCGCTGGTCAGAGACGCTGAGAGATATGGTCCAGAATAGAAGTCAAGGGCGCGAATGCTGTACGGTCTGCCTATCAAAATCCTGTACCCCGTAAAAAACAACAAACCAACCAAAAAGAATATCATCACATAAATTTTGTTATTCCAGTTATCTACAATTTTCCATTTTAACTGTTTTGCCTGCTTTCCACTTTGTTCTGTACCCCATTCCGCCTATCTCTTACTATTGTTATTGTTGTGCCGTTAGCACCATGCTTGTCTACAAGCCGGTGATAAGTATATAATATATATATTCAGTTCAGATCGATGCGCACTGACTATCCCGGTCATTGTTCTGCACACCTCGCGTGGTTGACCCTGTTATATCGAATTAGCTCCACCTTTGTCAGCTGTTTCTCAACACACCATGGGTCAACAGAGTATACGCACAAACGCCACGCCATTTGTCACACAGGCTTCGGGAGTTTGTGGTTCGACAGGCTGTGGCTAAGATATCATGACTGGAATATCATGCACCTATTGTCGGAACTATTTTCGCCCTTCATGCTTGAAACTATCATGCAAGCAGGCAAAACATATGGATGCACAACCAGATTGATTTGTTTTTCACGGATCGCTTGAATACCCCAGTTAACAAATACATTAGAGGTATATTTAAAAGGCATGAAAAGTTTTTATTGGCTGCTGAGGAAAAGGCAAACACTAAAATTTCAGCACTGGAAGGTAGCATAGCTTCCTTGAATTCCTAGTTTCTCCCAGGGGGCCCGATCCAGCGGCCGAAGAAACGTCTTAGGTTTTCCCACAGTAGCTCTGGTTCAACGCATAAGATACGCTCCGCTGGACTTAGTAACGTTCCGAAAACAACAAGGAACACAAGTGTTGTCCAATAACTGGACAACCCTTCAATGCAACTGACACTTGCCCATATTACGACGACAATTACAGCAACAAACGGTGCGGTCTCAATTTCAGGATCTGAAAGCCACGTTGAGTCCAAAGTATTTACACCGCAGATACAACCTACTTCGACAAAACAAAAGGAGACAGTTAATCACACCACCTTGACAGTTATCTGCACTAATGTACCAGAAGTGACAGTAACTTCACTTAGGGGGAAACAAGTAGAAAAGCTCGGTTACTGAACTTCATTATGTACTCCAATGAACATAGTCGTTCATCCAATGAGCAACATACGCCTCTTCCGTTAACTGTCCTCGCCTCACGCCGGGGAACTTCGTGTTACTTTAAAGCATGAGAAAGAGGTCAAGAACGTTCCTCTTTCTAGTTACCTTCTTGGCAAAGTTTCGAGTCGAATAAAAATACTACCTGATCGACTGTGGACCGAACGTATGAGCTATCGCAAGAACCCAGTGAATTTACGAGAGTCAGAGAATAAACGAGTTGCTTTGATTCGCAGAGTCTCGAAATAAAACGATTCAGAAGCGTCTAAATTTCGAGAAAACGATTGTAAAGAATGGGGTCTAATTCCACAGCTGATTGGATGCCACAATATTTTCACCACTTCAATCAGCCCACTTCTATGCTCAGCAAACCACCGCGGAAATGGCCCGAAGATTTTGAAAGTAACCCTCAGTACCTAGGAAACGGTCACATCGGTCTTGCAGGAATGGTATAAAAATCGAAGAGGATCATCAAAATTACTCATCAGAGGTGAAACGGCGTCCGAAGTTAGGAAACAGGGTTAACACGACACATCTATCAAGCCTAAGTTCCCTTCGCTCTCCATTGTTGCGAGCCCACAGCAACAGAACCGATTCCCCCAAAAACCGCAAAGTGGTCGGTAAAAATAACGATCCGAACCCTCATCATATTCTTAAAACGACACTCACTAGCCTGTTTTCACACAAACGCACAAGGCTTCCCCAGAAAATTGCCCGAGGTGCAACTGCGCTTGCAGATTGGTCAGTGGGATCTAGTTATCATTACCGAAACTTGATTGATAGCTGACATTCTCTACTCTGAATGTTCCTACTGAAAAGTGATCACTCTGTTGAAAGTGGTGGTGGGATGCCATATTTTCATAGCAATCTTCAATGGGAACCACTTGATCTCTTCGATGCAGCCCCCGACAGACTTTGGTGCACAATGAAGCTGCGCAAAGATAGCAATTGTTTGGTCGGTGTGATCTATCGCTCTCTTGCATCTTCAGACTTAGTTTACGAGGCACTGTTGCAGACCCTCAGTAAAGTTCACTCATGTTCTCATAATAGGAGACTTCAGTTGCCCCAATTTTATAAAACTCCAGAACTATCACCACCCATTCGAGCGAAATTCAACATAGCGTATAGACTCACACCCTATGTATAATCATATAAAGGTTCCTACCACATTTCTAACATGTCATCTACCATCGACTTTGGACTTGATATTGACAAGCCAGAAGCTTATCGTCGAATTCGCCGAAATAACGTCTCCATTAGAACTCAACGACCATGCAGTTCTGCTTTTCGATTATATTTACCACGCCTTTATAGAAGAATGCCTGCAAACCAACACACGCACCCCCATTGACTAGATAAAATGCTGAACCTTACTGCTTTCAAGCAATGAACTCGCCCGGAAGAACAGCTTAATCCATTCAAGTCCTCCAAAAGATCCACTGACACTCTAAAAGAACTCATAAAGGTTGCTACAAAAATCAAGCCTATCGGTACATCACCTATTCGCAGACTAACCAAGAAATGGATTTCACAGAGGAATTCCTCCTGGCGAGAGTTCGAAGGATCTCCAACCGTCGGCACTCGGGATAACTATATCATGATGAAAAACCTTTGAGCAAAATTAGTAAGAGAGGATAAACGGAGGTCTCGAGACGCCCTGACAAGTTTATTTTCCATCCAAAGCTCCTATATAAGCATATCAATGCCTTAGAAAAGAGAAATATGGAATATCAGCACTAAGGGATGCGGGACACGTTTGCACAACTAATTATGAAGCAGCCAACTTCCTAAAAGTTTATTTCTATGTAGGTGAAATAGTTGGATTGTTGCTTTCATTCCTTCTGCCAAGTGTCCTAACACCTAGGCACAGTGTAGTATTATGTTTCAGTTTTTACAACCATGCACTTTCGTGCGCCGGTTTTCGTTGCTGTCTTTTGGTTGCCCATTTGGATAAAAGAGCGAAATGAAGATTGGAATGTCGAAGCAAATTCAAGCGGAAGATGGGGAATACATATAGAGTGGTGTTGGAAAAATAACGGGTGGATGCACGAGCGCCCAGCCATATCACTCAGTGTAGCTCATCATCGGTGACCATCATCCCAAGGTCCCCAGCCAGGGACCTAACGGGGTTTATGTGACCTAGTCTCCTGGTTAGGGTTTTCATACCCTCGTGCCAGGTCTTAGCTTGACCGCCCTTTGTTTTTTTTCCAATCGCTACCAGCCTTGGCAAACATCGTTCGCCGTGGCAACCTATCTGGTGACATGTGTAGCACATGTCCCAACCAGCGTAATCGATGGAGGTCGATCACTTCCTCTAGTGGACGACCGCGACTGCCTAAAACTCTACGCCCAACCTCAGCATGCTAGTCCGGTTACCCCATCAGACACGTGAAATGCTATGTAGACAGCGGTATTCGAACACCGACAATCTATTTTTATCCTGTTCCTTTAGTGGCCAAGTCTCTGCACCGTAGAGCAGGACTGGTCGAACTGCTGCAGCATACACTCGACCCTTCACAGACAGCCGGATTTCGCGACGGCTCCGCAAATGTTTCAAGTTGGCAAATGCCAATCGAGCCTTTTGTATTATCATGTAGCTAAGATAGATAACCTAAGCACTGTGCTGGGCAGTTAAGAACCACTTTTGGACTACACAGAATAGACTTGACGTCGATTTGGACGACAGCACAGTTGTATAGATCTAAACTTGGGTGGCTTGAGCAAGGTTCGAACCACGAACCTAAAACCCGAAGAACACCTTTGACAGTATCACTAAAAGCTCGACTAATATCATAAGGAGCGCAGCACACTTTCATGTCGTATAATACAATACTAACATGGAGGAGGGAAAAATGAATGGGCCAATTAAAGTATTTTAGGCGCCCTTCTGAACCATAGTTTACGAGAATTAGCACTCATTCGAGGAGTCAGTCCGAAGTTAGTAGGCAATTTTTGTTTGTACTATTCTGATCCAAATGCTAAGCAGTATGGGTTGCATGGTTTAAAATATAAGGTAAAAAAGTACTTCAGAACGTCCCTGAATTACAAAGCACCAACCGGACGTAATGAATCAAAATATGCCTGGCGAAAATCTTCATTTTTAGATTAAAATCAGTTGGAGAGTAATTTTTGTTTTATTACCGCTCTACTAAGTATAATGGCCACATTGCTTTCAAACCTTCATCCGCCAAGCGGCGAATAAAGCACGTGTTTTGGCTTACCAAATCCTCTATGTGTGTCCGTTTTTCAATTTCTTGAACCGACTCATTTTTCGAAGAGGGGACGTTGGATTTGTTTGAATCAAACTGGTTTGAGTTCGACGGTTTCAGATCGGAATTGTGGTTCATTTGCGATGTTTCTGTTGGTTTTGGATTACCCAAATTGGTGATTAAATTTTGATGGGAAACAGCCTCCTGAGCAGCGGCGAGTTCCAATACTAGGTTTGCTAACTTGGCTCGATCTTCTTTACATAAATCCTGTAGGCGACAACGCTGGGATCGTGATTTGGTACTAACAATAAACGGAGACTGGAGGGGGAGATAACAATATCATAACAAAAATTACAATAATGATCACACAATTTACAAATAATAACAAAGGCAAATTCAATTCATCTGGACAACTTTTGGGTGAAGTCAGGGGGAACGATGCAGTCAGCAATCAGGTTATTCAAAAGCCAAAAAATGCAACGACAAAACAAATTTGAGTAGGGCACTTTTCAGGTCAACCATCATCCAAAGGACTCAGTGATAACTGGATGGTAATATCAAGAAGGCGATCCAAATATCAATAGAAATATTACGGATTGAGGCGCACGATCAAAGCAAAAACGATGCATTTCCTAGAATTCAGCTGCCCTGTTGGACGCTCGAAAAGCTATTCCTTCGGATTTAAAATACGAAAAAGCGTGCCAATATCTTAAACGCCAGCTCATCAAAAGTCAGAGGAGTGACCGCGAGAAGTGGTGGCTAGGGAATGCTGCGGCTATCGGTAATAGTTGCAATCTTTTTCGTTTAATCAGGAGTACGGGCCCAAGGAAAGTAGTCGTAATTGAGGTATTTAAGGAGTCTGACAGCACACTGATTCATCATTAGCAAAGCCGTCTAGATTGATGGACAGAATATTTTAAGGAATAGTTCAACTGGCCCTCGTCGACACAAGCCTCAATATACCTGCTTTAACTGAGCAAATACTGCCAGTTGATATCAGCCCTCCATCGGAAATGGAGGTTACCTGGGGAATCAGTTATCTCAAAAGGTATAAAGCATCCGGCCCGGACGGGTTGTCCCCATGTTTTTAAGGATGGAGGCTCAGCGTTGTTCCTGAAGTTAACGAAACTCCTAGGCTTACTGTGGGAGAGGGAACAGGTTCCAAGTGAATGGTGTAAGTTGGTCATCATACTGATTTACAATAAAGGTAACAGGTTCTCTTGTGAAACCCACTGAGGAATATATATATATATATATATATATATATTTAACACCGGCTTGATATCAAGCTTGATGCCAACGCCATAACAATATTAACAATAACAATAACGAACGGAGAGGGGGGGATTGGGGTACAGAGTATAGGGAAAAAATGTAGCTGTCAGAATAGGAGATTACGAATAAGCGGAATAACATTTTTTGTTGTTGTTTCACCGTACGGTTTTGAAATTTTTTGGTGTTTTAATTTTTTTTGGGGGGGGCGGGGGAGGGGAAGTCTAATTAATATCGTCTCTAAGCTTCTCGCTGGTGTTATATTCCGTTGATTGTCTGCCGCACATGAACGGTGCACGCGTGAGAACCAGGCTGGTTTGAGACCTGGTCCGGGTTGTATCGACCGCAACTTCACCGTTCGACAAATTTTAGAACACAGATACTGCTTCCACAGACCCACCATTTCTATCTTCAGCGATCTGAAAGCCGCTTTCGACCCAGTGCACGATGAGTGGCATAGATTTACTCCCATATAGCAGACTGATCTGGAGTATGCAGACAACAATAAACTGCCAATTGAAGATTCGGGTGAGTTGCAAGCTTTTTCTGGATAGTTTGAGTGCGAGTTGAGTCATGTTCGGTATGCACTTTTCACCTTCCAAGTGTAAAATGCTGCTAGAAGATTGGGTTAGCCAATCCCCCCAAACTCACCCTAACAAGTGGTCGATCTCCATAAACTGTAGTAGTTGGGACGTGTTGCGCATGTCACCAAGTAGTTTACCACAGCGCGTAATGTTTGCCGAGACAGGCAGCGGTTGAAAAAAGTTCAAGGGTGGTCAAACGAGGACCTGGCATGAGGGTATGAAAACCCTAAACAGGGGATTGGGTCACACAGCTCTCGTTAGGCTTCCTGGATGGGGACCCCGAGATTATGGTAATCGGTGGTAAGAGACATTGAGTGCTATGGCTGTGTCGCAAACAGCGTGAATCTACTTGTCATTCTTGCAACTCCTCGCCCTCATCATTCCAATCTTCATTCTGCTCTTTTATCCAAATGGGTAGCGAAAAGACAGCACCCAAAGCCAGCTCATAAAAATGTATGGTTGATGGTTGTTAAAACTGAAACCTTTTATTATCTCGTGGCATCACAAATATAATTGATAATTATTTTCAAACAGTTAAAGAAGACGTAACTCTTAGTGCATCTATGGATTGGCCCTAGCATTTCGATGTATGAATAATCGTTTTGTAATTGGCTTTCGATCTTTGCTCACCGAAAATGGAGAGCAGCAAATAATTATTTTTTGTTTATTCCAGCCATTTGGAACTTGCACAAAATAGCTGTTGCTTGACAGAAGCCCCCAGTTGGTTTATTCACCGTTCTGCGGTGACTAAAGTGCCGTTTGACGATTTGCCACTGGGATGTGGTGAGAAATCTATAGCAAAACTTTCATAAGTCTCATATAAGGGAGCTCAGTGATAATAGATCAACCTATTGTGCAACGATGGGATGATCATCTTCGGAGAGGTCGCTGGCAAAATAACGCTGAACAATCGCAGTTTATCGGTTGATAAGCACTGTTAAGTGGAGACTAGAGAGGAATATTCCAGGTTTTAAATGACGAAAAGAAGTAAGTATTTCACACAACACTTACAACCGATTCAATCTAGGCTACGTTTAGCATATAGCATTGTTTAGGTCCTTCATTGTCATTAGAGGCAACAGCTGGTCACAAGAACGAACCGATATCAAATGAAACGGTGAAAAATATCGAAACATTCTGTATGAATAAGCTGCAACAGGAATGCTTTCCTTTCCCGTCCCAACCTGATTAGAGTACTAAAGTCGTATAGGCGGGATTTTTAGCAAAAAACTGGAAAGCTTTCTAAACGAAAACCCTCCTATTGGTTTTTGGATGGCAAGATGTTTGCAGTATCACGTCTAATTCTTCTTAATCCCACAAGACACAGGACGCTGTTTGTTTTTGTAATTCCAGATATTTATGCTACAAAATTTAGTGCTCCAAACAAAGATGAAAGAGTGACCTATAAAATAAACAAATGCGCTTCTTTCCTACAACAGAACCCAACATTCGTACGCCACATTAGTTTTCACAGTAGGCTGTCGAGCGTAGAAACAAAGAAAACCTCAAACGGTGATAAGTACATGACATATCTGGATGGGAAGAATGGCTTCCAAGAGGATCGAGAAGTAGGCACCAAGCTCTCCTGTTTTGGGTTTTGATGGTTGGGGCTAAATCAAATCAATTCTATCAGTCTTGAAGTTTGCCGCATTCTATTTCCCTAAAAAACATGGAACGGTTCGAAAAGCTCCTATGGATGCATTTGCAGTATAAAATGACCAAATAAGCAAACTCGATTGCCTTACACAGCTATACACTGCGAATGATTTAATCTTTACGACTTCACACACAAGGAACGGGCTCCACCTAGAAAGTTGACTTTACCATCCTCCGCAACGTTAGACTGCATTTGATTACGTTGCCATCTGTTGAAAGCTGGAATTGATTCTTTCAAGACTACCGATCCTTCAGCCGGCAACTGCTGACTTCGGACCCGATTGTAGTGCTGTTCACAAATGCTTTTAATTG